AATCCCACAGTTGTAAAAAGGGTGAAAGGTGGATTTGAGTCCTGACCGCTGATTACCCTCCTCTGCTCTGCTGCTGAGCTCACCTATAGCTGGGAGAGCCATAAAAACAGGCTCCCTTCATATTAATTTGGACACACACACACACACACACACACACACACACACACACACACACACACTCTCTGTTAACACACTCATTCGTTATCACCTCCAATGGAACTCCTTTTTACAATTCTGGGTCTTAATTCTTTGCCAAATACAAAGTTATCGTCCAAACACAGTAGCACGTACTTGTATTGTCCTGATGTGCACACAGGGTTCAGTCCATCCATCTCACACTTCAACAAATAATGTTTTTGTAAATGCTTTAGAGCCTCAGGTCTGGCTGGGATAGGGGCTCCCTGGGGCCCGCCAGCCTGAGACTGGGAGGCGACGGGGTCCGGGGGCTGATTTAGGGCCTGGAGGAGACAGACAGGGGCCTGGCCGGGAGCCAGTCTCCTTACAACAGTGGGTAGCTGCAGCCATGTTAATATACTGTCTACTGACTCCAAGCGGAACGCAGACAGAGGGGAGGAAATGGACTGGACTTGGAGAGTGTTTATCAGATTTTGAGAACTTTTATTCATCTTAAACAAAATAGTTTAATCCTTTGTGCTGTTCTATGGTTACGCCTGCTGCACACACTAGTTTTTCAGCGCCTAAAACAGAGAAGTTTGAATATGCTGGTGTCCCAGTTGTAGTTTGAAAACTCTGGAGATGTGTTCTAGTACCAGACATTTGGAAACGGTGACGCCCACATTGGCTTCCTGATAGATTATTACGGACAGGGATTATTGCTGATGCAGAGATAAAATGCTTGTGTCGAAAGAGATCGTAACAGGTTTTAAAAGGAAAACATATTAGTATGGATGTAGCCCTAGTGGAATGGAGATGTCAGATAGAGGAGAAGAGGAAACAGTAAAAGATAGAGCACGAAAACGAAGATAAGCAGAGGAGAGGATTGGGATTCATACCATAGACCCAGCCGATGGCCACAGACTGGCAGATGGAGAGGAGCAGCAGACTGGCTCCGCTGCACGAGAAGTGATCATAAACCTGGAACACGTACAGACCTCCCTGCATCCAGACAAACTCCATTACTTCATGTCATCAAAACCAAACCTGTACACACCTCCTACGCAAGCACACATCCATCCATCCTGAGTGTGACGCACCGGCGTGACCATGACCAGTCCCATCAGGAAGCAGACGACACAGACAAACAGCAGCAGCAGCTCTCGCCGGTGACCTCGTCTGATCAGATGAGGGTACAGGTCAGTCACTGACGTCATCAGGGCCTCCAGACTCACAAACTGGGTGACAGAAGGGAGACGGGGTCAGTGAGCGCGTTGTCTGTTTTACATTATACGAAACGTAGTACATCGGTTCTATCAAAAGTAATTCATCAACGTCAGTGTGTGTGTGTGTGTGTGTGTGTGTGTGTGTGTGTGTGTGTGTGTGTGTGTGTGTGTGTGTGTGTCTGTGTCTACCTGTGTGTCCAGGCCCAGCATGATGATCATGAGGAAGAAGCAGACAGCCCAGAGTTGAGGTAGAGGCATCATGGCGACAGCTCTGGGGTAGACGATGAAGGCGAGGCCAGGTCCTGTGATGAAAAACAGTAAATACATTAATTAGTTATGTAAAATTAATTCAAGTGTTCAAAGCTTTTTGTCTAAATACCCATGAGCTCTTTTACCGAAACTTCCACCTCAAAACATTATTTCACCTGACTGGGCCACGGTGCTGATGTCCACGCCTTGCTCCTCTGCCATGAAGCCCAGCACCGAGAAGATGGCGAAACCTGCCAGGAAGCTGGTGCTGCTGTTCAGGAGGCACAGCAGGAAGGAGTCTCTGGAAGGACACATGGACATGCAGTGAATTAGGAGGAACAATTAAAGCAAAGAACACAAGAATTCAATATTATTAGAGGAAAAGTGGCTTCAGTGAAGCAGCAGAGACAGTGAGGTCTTGAACTAGGAGTCTGGCCTTGTTTTGTGGAGCTGTGGCCTGTTACTGTAAATACAAGCCAAGAGTTAAGTGCATGGCTCTCCCTCAGTGTGTGTGTGTGTGTGTGTGTGTGTGTGTGTGTGTGTGTGGGAGTCCTGGAGTGTGGGAAACATGGCAGCCAGGGCTTTTCTTTAAGGTGTGGCTCTATCAGTGTGTTTTCTCTGTCCATTCCAGCCATTCCTTCTGGAAGCCATCTGACATTTCAAGTGATTATGGTTAATCTGAAGCGGAGACTCTGTGCAGCTGGGAAGCGCTATTGTGTAGTTGTGGGTAATTAAGCAAGTGTCTCACTTGTAGCAGTCGTTGTTGTATTTGTTGTAGCTGCCCAGGGCTGTGAGACTTCCCAAGCAGATTCCATATGAGAAAAAAACCTGGGTACCGGCATCCATCCATACCTAGAGGGAGAGAATGAGAAATGCGATATTAAGGTTCCAAAAGCAACAAGGAAACTTAGGGACAAAGCTGCAGCAAACTTCACGACACAATCTAGAATAAGTGGAAGACAATGAATGAATGGATTTATCTGTTAAGCAATTTTGTTAAGAAAAGTGATACATAAGTTTATTATTATTGATATTACTACTATAAAACTGTAGTTATGTGTTATCTACAGCAACATCACGATGGGTATCGAATGAATTACAGATAATACTGTACTAGTTGTTTATTGTTGCATACTCCACAGGAGTGTGAGTGTGTTTTGTACCTGCGGGTCTGCAAGGCGGGTGTGGTTGGGTTTGAGGTAGTAAATGATGCCCTGCGTCGCTCCGGGCAGTGTGGCACCGCGCACCAGCAGCACAAACAGCATGACATATGGGAAGGTGGCTGTCAGGTACACCACCTAGAATGTACACAGAGGGAGAGCGTGCAGGGGATGTGGTCAGGACGGCACGGAGACAGAGAAAACAGGAAGGACACGTCTTACATTAGACACTTTAAAGAGGGAACCCTGGAAAGTTGGAGTCTGTTGACAGATGGTGGTGGTGACACAAGAAAATTATTGCAGCCGCTCATTTCATTCGCTGGAAAATGACAGAAGATTTATGTTCTGTTTTTAGCCGGTCAGCAGGATTCTGCTGTTTGTGTGTGTCACTTCTACAGGATGTAGCCTGGCTTTTTATGGTATATTAGGGTGAACATTTTAATTAAAAATATGCCGAATGACATGTGATCTACTTATAGATATAGAGCGATCTATCACTGGATTAATTTGAGGAAGAAGAAAACTCAAAAACACAAAGATTCTTAGGTTCTGGAGTTACAGCTTCTGCTTGATGCTGGTGAAGCAAATAAGTTCCCAGACATGGGCAGGGCAGTGAAGGCATCACGCTGTGTGGTGATGGTAGTGTGTGTGTGTGTGTGTGTGTTTTTTTTTCTCACTCACCTTTCCAGTGGACTTGACGCCCTTCCAGACGCAGAAGTAACAGACGAGCCAGACGACGGCCAGACACAGAGCCAACTTCCAGCTGACTGGACCCAGCTCGTCTAAATTGCTGGACAGGCGCAGCACCTCCCGCCTAGAAAACACACACACACACACTGTTATTAATTCCTTACACCTGTTGATATTCTGCATGATTAATATCCTGAAAATAAAACAAGGCACTCACTCCCAGAACTCCATGACGGGGGAAGAGGCGTTCTCAGGCAGGCTGCTCGCATTTGTGGTCTGGTTGAGTTTGTTGAACAAGACACACGTCTCTGCCGACACACACACACACACACACACAGTAGAGCGTGGTTACCCCTTGATGTTTTACACAGCGGCCCGTTTAAACAGCACTGACATGCATCCTTTCTTACTGACCAGTGTTCCACGTGTTGTTACAGTGCGACCACGGCAGCTCGGCCTGGAAGCTGTGCGACAGGTAGAAGACGGCCCAGGCCAGGATGACGATGTAGTACACGCAGCCATGCAGGATAATCACCTGGCTGGCATAACCAAGCCCTGCAGACAGAGACAGGGTGTGATGGCTTACACAATCTGATGGGTCGTAGAAACAGATAAACACAATCCTCAAAAGAATTGTGCGCGAATATTCTGGCGTTTCACATGAAAGCATCCATTTACTGAGACACTCCACTCGCAGCCCACGTCTTGTATTTCTTCATTAGGGATGAATGATGCTCTTATGAGGCCTGGAGTAGGTTCGTGAGCGTAGGCTGTTTGCACAGACTAATGACTGTTTGTGGTATCCTCTAATGAACTGCAGGCCTCTATCTGACGATGGGAAATTAAATGTGCAAACCAGTGATGGATTCCTGCAGAAGCAATTCTTTGGTTGTGTGTTGCTGCTCTCAGACAGGCACGCAAGTCCAAACAATTTGCTGTATGTGAGATTGCAAATGTCTGAGTCAGTTTTTCCATAAAGCGGAGGCATACATGTATAAAGACGCTGGTGGAGATGTCAACTCGGACAAATAACAAGATTCGAGAGCTTTTGGTAATAAAGGCCGATGCTAGTGTCGATGTGCTGTAAACAAAAATCTATTTTTTCATCATGATCCAATTATTCCCTGGGAAAAATATCGCATACTACAATTAAAGAAATGAAAGAAAGTGACAAAATGTAGTTCTTTCCTGGAATCTGTGCAGGTCTACTTAAAAACCAGGAGCCTTTCTTCAATACTTCAGTGCTTTTCTCAAATGCATTATCTTCCAAACCAGCTTTCATTCCTGAACGGTTTGGATTCTTCTGGGATCATGTGTACAACTTTATTTCCCTTGAGAAGCATCACATCAATGTCAGGCTCTGGATCACTGGTGTAAAACCCTGATTTGAGTAGGAGGATACCATGAAAACAAGACGTTTAACATCAAGCGTTGGTTTTTATTGGCACGCACACAGTGTACTGCCTCCTGCGCTCCTGACTTTAACACACTAGCTGAGACGCAATGTGAAGCGCACACGCAAGCAGCTCGCGGGGAGTGCCAACCCTCTGATTGCGGACACGCTGTTTATATGGGTTTCGAATTGGTGCGGACACTGGAATGCTTTGAATGCTTGAGCCAGCGTAGAAAATAAAAGACGAGAAAGTCGGTGAAAAGACCAGACAGAGGGAAAAGAAAGACGAGTGAGACGCTGGCAAGGTTCAAGGTCGGATGTTATCGCTGTCACCCTCAAATCCCTGCTGTGTGGAATTTGTTGTACCCTGGTTACTCACCAGAAGGACACAACAAACCCTGCGGTGCACGCAGGGAGTGACGTAACCACAGCCAACTATAAACTCCCAACACAGTCTTGCTTCCCACAGTTTATACCTGGTGAACTGAAAGACTGCAGCAGCAAAAACAAGAGAGAGAAAGAAAAGAAGACAAAATGCCAAATGAGGAAGAAAACACTCATTATGGGATGGTGAAACCTTCAGTATGAGCTCCCTCCTCACTTTTTTAACTGACTACTGATATTTGTGTTACTACATGATAGGTGCAGAAGATCACACCCCCCCTCCTCCCCTTGTTAAGTTCAGACAGTTCAGACGTTAATCATTTGTGGAAGCCCCCCATCGAACCCTCTGTCGAGTTTACTCTTCTGTGAATGTGAAAACTCCCGTCCATCCAACCTTTCGACCTGGCTGCAATTGCATCATGACGTCTGTACTCACTGACCACAATTATATTGGATCACTGCTGTATAACCGCCATTCTATAGAACAGCCATTAATTGATTAATTAGTGTTAGTGGCAGCTCTAGGCAAACCCTCGGCACACTTAACACTTTGCACGAATCCCAGCCTCTGATAATGATGATGATATAATAGGACTGCAATGAAAAACGCAACCTTAAAGAGAGTGGGGAAAAAAAGACTCCTGGATCCAGCCCCTGATCCGGATCTGCACCAAAATTGAATGGGTTCTTCATTGCTCCAATCCTCCTTTTGCGTAATCTTGCAGACAAACACACACAAATACTTGATAAGCATACCTCCAAATAAAGGGCAGATGCTCCTCCAGGCGCTGACACCTCCCAGGCTGGTGTACTGTCCCAGTGAGGTCTCCAGGAGGAAGAGTGGGATGCCACACAGCACCAGGAACAAAAGGTAAGGGATGAAGAACACACCTAGACACAAATACGAGGACCTTCAACTTATGGCTTTGCCACACTTTTCATTGTATTTTGAAAATGAACTGTTATAAACCCTAACTGCATTGAGTATTTATATAAATTTAATTTCCAGTTACTAATCAGACCTGATAAAAGAGTTCATCCCTAGTTATAGACAGCGAGAGAGAGGAAAAAAGATAAGAGTAGATGACGGAAGGGGAGAAATAATCAACAGAATTTACCAAATCACAATGCAACTTTGTCATCTGTTATAAAATGTGCTTTACCTCCACCGTTCTTGTAGCAGAGGTACGGGAACCTCCAGACGTTGCCCAGGCCGATGATCTGCCCCGCCACGGCCAGAAGGAACTCCGCCTTATTCGCCCACTGGCCTCTGGCATGCAGGACGTCTTTGGGGGCTTCTGTCCCGTTCGGGAGGCTCAGCTGGGGGGGCTTTGTCAACAGTGAATCTCCTTGCTGCAGAGGAGTTTGGTCGGCCATGACTTGTTCAGATGGCAATGCACACATACAGACCCCTGGGGAAAAAACACAACAAATTAAGAGGGGTGATACAGAGTAGAAAGCACAAAGAAAGGATCACTCACATCTCAGCAGCCGGTATTGAATGGGCAGAATGCTGGTGTGTTTGGTGACAGTTGGTCTGACCTCCTCACTTATCTGTGATGTGTGACTCAAGGACGAACTTACGTGGGTGGGTGTCCTTTATCTGTGTTCTGCAGCTCACTCAAGGCCTAAATTTGGAGCTTTTTTCAGATGGTGCATCTGGTTTCGGATTTACTCTTACTCTATTAGTTTAATTTATTTGGCTTCGTTCTGTCACAATCCCCCTTCATATTTGAGCAGAGTTTAAATAAATAACTTGAATCTCATATCATTAATCCAGCAGCAGCCAGTCCATATAAGAAAGTAGGAAAGCTAAGGTTTTGATACAGATGTGCAAAAGGTCACATTCCACCCCATATGAGGTGTGTTTCTGACATCTCCATTTGAACAAATGTACAAAACAAGATAATTAAAAGTCAAACAGCATCCAGCAAACACACGGATATGCAGTAATAAGTGAGTGAGGAAAAAAGTAGAGAAAAGGATGAAATGGCTGTAAAAGCAAAACCTGGGGCCTTTGGTGCATTCTAGTGCTGCTAGTCCTTCATACACACAATATTTATTATTATTAATGAAATGATTGGTCATGTTTACTACAGTTTTACTAGGCCATAGACAACACCTGTTTTCTTGTAGTGAATTAATGCAAAGGAGAACGTGGAATTAAAAAATGGTAAACAGTATAAAGTAAGTTTATTTTACAGTTTTCACACTTTTAACAAAGTCATTACACATCTCTTATTAGGGGGATCTGTGTGGAACATACCTTTGGGAGTGGTATATAATCCCATTTGATTTGTACTTTTTCAATTCTACATGTTATAAGTATAGGAGCAGAGGTTCTGACATGTGGATGTATCATGTAGCAGTAAAGAAAATAAAAGTTGATCCCTTGTGATTTATGTAACTTCATTGTTCACACTGTAATAACAGGAGCAGAGGGTGGGTGTGTGTGTGTGTGTGTGTGTGTGTGTGTGTGTGAAACGTCCTCTTCCTTTGAACCATGTAACCACGCGGGAGTGACGTCACATACCTCTCATCAGCAGCCTCTCATAATAACGGAAACAGCTGTGAGAATAAACAAATAGACAAGAGTCTGATGTAACTACACGTGTGTGTGTGTTTAAATGTGTGTGTGTTGTGATGGTGTGTGTGTATCGAATGACACGGACGTGTCGTACAACATGGAGGCGTGGAGAGGCGTCACGATGCTCGAACACATTTGCGCACATCACTCTTACGCTTTAAAAACACGATGGGGATGATTAAACTGCGGATAATTCATCCTACCTCCGCGGTGCAAGCCGGTTCCTACACTTCGGTTGTGTCGGTGGTCGAGTGCTCTCTCTGTGCTTCGGGCAGAGAGCAGCCGGTGCGCCGCCTCAGTCTGAGCAAACACAGGCGCTGTGGGGACTGGAGCACGTGGATGACCCCCCGTCTGGTGCATTGATACGATCCACGCAAGGAAAAGGTTACAAAAGAAACCATAACGCATTAAGGGTGCTTGTTAGGGGCAAAAAGCAACGTTTCGAATTGCTTTATTTGCCTTACTGTGAAATTCAGACTTTCATTGTGAAATTAGCACACGGTAACCATGGTGATTCACCCTTTTAGGGCTTCTGCATTTGGGTCATTTATGAAAAACACAACTGGATTAAGATTATCTGTGTATAAATTAGCAAACATGAAAGTACTAGATATATAGAAAATATAAAATCAAATAAAGATAAACATAGGCAGTAATGGTGCCCATGTTATATGTAACAATTGTTCATTAAAATATCTTTAAAAATAACTTTGAAAGGCAAGACACTGACAAAATAATATGCAAGGAGGGCAAGAGTAGTGAATACAGGACAGGAATGAAATAGCAGAGAGCGACAGAGAGTGTGTCTGAAGTTTAATGTACATATAAATATATATACAATTAATTATAATAATAATTTGGTGGAGAGTATTAGAAGGAATCTTAAAGAATATAATTGATAATTGATTATTGGATAATAATACATAGCAGTAGTATTACCACTACTACTATTACTACTAATGAAAATAAATGAGTTAAATAAGGAAAAAAAGGGTGTTAATAGTTATTCTTGTGTTGTCAATAATAATAATCATCATCAACAATAATAATGTTATAAAATATTTTCTTAACAAACTATCTGTGGTGTCATGCTTATATCACTGCTGAGGGCCAATGGTTTCACAGCAAGTGAATCACATGATCATATCCAGACATGGCTACTAAAACAAAGAGTGTTGAAAAAAAGAGTGTAAATTGTTTTTAGCTGCAATAGTTATGAGTAAAATATCATATATACAGTTTCGCCATATTCTAAATCACAGTATATGCTTTCTGTATATCTGCATAGATAACTTGTAATGTGAGAACACCAGCAGCCTTTAGCGCCCTGTTGCAGACTCTGACCTGTAAATAGTCCTGGCGTCTTGACCATTTAGCCCACCTCGAGCAGCTTGCAGCACATTTAACGGGCTGTGTCATTGCCTGTGCTTGTTCTGCTGAGCCTTTATAGCCATGCAAAAAAATGCATAGTTTCCTGCTAACACTCAATGACTTCATTCAGAAAATTGGATTCCATTAATCAAATATAAGGTTACATTACCAGGAGTATTAAATAACAACAGAAGAGTTTTCCCTGTAGATATTTGCACACATGCAAACCTGTGTAGCAGTTTAGATCATTACACAGTCAACACAGTCTCATCTGAAAAACTGGATGTTTAAACCCCACAACCAAGAACAATTGAAGCCTGTCGACCTCCTGAGGCAGAAACCAGTCCATCCAGAAGACAAACCATGCAACAATGTATTATAACCAGTTGAATGTACTGAGGAATGCACAGACCTGTACATTAAGGAACTTAAACAACCCCTTCACGAAGCCTCATGTCAGGACTCAGCAGTCAACCTACATCTGAAGGACAAGGGACATTAATTTGAAGATAATAATGTCCACATTTTGGCCATGGAAGACAGATGGTTAGGGATAGAACTGTCAGAGCTGAAGAAACCTCTTGAGAGGTGAAACTGCTTCAAGAAACTCAACACAGTCTAGTTGACCTATTTTTAGCACTTGGATAGTTCATATCAGGGTTTCTGTAGGTTTTGTCATATTCAATTCAAGACCTTTTAAGACCTGTTTCAAGTACGACAGATATGAATACTTAAACTACCGTAAAAGATAAGGTGAAGATGCCTAGTAAAGAAAAGTCTTTGGAATGCAATGTTACCTCAAAAAACTCCAGGACGAGAGAGTAGGTATCCTTAGGCTTTGTAAAGCTGAGTTTACTGTGATACAGATTTATTCTGACCAGGGTGTTTGGAGAGTATCAGCTATCAGTTCCACTTCAGTCTTGTTGAAGGGAGGTTATATCACTTTGCCTCTCCACCCAGGATTACACAAACACTACTGGGATAGATTCCTACCAACCCTTATTTAGCAGAATGGAATAGGTGAACTAATTAAATTTTGGTGACATTCCATAAATGGGTGCGTGCTTGAACAACAATCTCACATGCAAAAAATTCAGAGTGACGGGTACACAGATGGAATGACAGCTAATTTCTTGTGTGTGAGAAATAACGGCATTGCGTGCCATGTGAAACAACTGAAACTATGAGGTCTGTGTGGATGGTAACAGCTTTATAGAGGGCAAGCACGCAAATAATGTTGCACACAGCTTTACAAGGCAGCGACGGAGCAAAACATCAAGTTAGAAAATCTTTTGCTATTATGAGTAGTGTAAAAATCTTGGTTCAAATTAATGGGAACTACCACATTCATCGGAAACACACATGGAGACATTACAAAATATGCATGTCGTCAAAACATTTTCACATATTTAAGGCTTTTTAAGGTCTAAATTACAGATTATTAGACCCTGTGCAAATGTACACAACTATTACACTGGAAATAAACTACTTTACCTCCTATTAAACTATTCTTCTACCACAGCAAATTGTACCTTGTTAGTTCAATACAGACATCCATCAAGCTATAAAAAACTTCTCTGAGTTGGGAATAAAATCACAATTTCTATGAGCAGCTTCACCCTCCCTCATTAGAAGAGGAAATACCTGAAGAAAATCAAAAAGTCAAACGTCAAACGTCAGGAAGTGGTGAAAAAAATGATCCTGCAATCATATACAATGCAGTAATTCCTCAACTACACACATACACACACACGCACACACGGCCTGCATATCTTCTCTCAAGCTGCAGACTCTGCATTGCTTCCCAGGGGTCAAATAAAACCCCAACATTAGGGGTCCTTCAATACAGTCACCATTGTTCTGTCCTGACAAACCTGCAGCCCCCTGTAAATGTGGTGCCACGAGGTGTAACTCAGACCAGGCGCAGTTGTACCCAATTTTCTGCAGCGTGCTTTATGGCTGTGTTTATTGGTGTCTGGCATTCATAGCAGTGGATCACTGATATACACTGGTAGGTATTGTGAAACTCCTACCTCGACACTACCCTGTTGTATCGTTGCAAAGTTTTTAACCCTTTCAATAGGACGCTATGACGAACAAAGTGGCAAAAATGATTTCTGTTAATACGACCCTGAGCGTAAAACACAGGCCATTCAGCAACTGCAGCATTAAGACAAAAAAATGCTCATATTACGCATTATACTCAAAAAGACACAACTAATTTAACACAAAAGTAAGAAAATTGAGTCTGATTGAGTGAAATTTAAGAGGAAGCTGCACTCACCAGTAGTAAATCTTTAGTGTTGTAGCCTCAAGAAGAATCATGCTGTTTGCAGCTGAGATAAGTTTAACTGCGACTTCTTAAACACAGCATGGGTATTTAGGTTCTTCAATTTCAGCCACCTCTCTCTGATAGCACGTGTGGGTGATTGCTGCTGGTTTTGGGATTGGTTAAAAAGATCATCCGACAGGCGCAAGGTGTCAGGTTCATTGTGCTGTCCAGCTATGGTGTCTAATGACAGGAAATGAACAGAAATGATACCTAAAACCCTCCTGCTCATTCATGGTGAGCAAACATGGGTGGCAGCCATCTGTCTAATGTGGAGTGGGCAGTACGAGCTCACAACATATGTCGGGTTGTGCACAAGCAAAATCTATGAGCATTGCCTAAAAGACATACCCTACCCCAAACGCTGTAATCTTATGGTTTCTCTTTGTATAGCTGTTTTCTGGAAAATACCTGGAAAATTGGGTCTTGACATTCTCCAGAGTTTGCCTTTCACATATGAAGAACGCAGCAGTAGAATGTCTATGTCAGATGCATTCATGACAATGGGAAGCTGTCTGGAAACATTCAGATGAGGGGTGGCATCTGGGTAGAGCATGCAGGAGGCAAGACGTGACGTAAAAGCATGTGTTTTTGTATTCTGCACATCATCGCCGGTGTCGGTCCTTATCGCCTAAAGGTTTTGAATCTCGCTGTCTTTCCAAGTTGCTATCTTCGTCTGCGTCTTCTCTATTTGTGCCACCTCTTTTTCATCCTCAGATATGTGTATTTTTTAAGTTTTGAGCCCATCAGTTCCTAGAAACGCCCGCACACAAAACATTTCTGATCATTCTCCTACTGTATACTCACATGGGCTATGGACAATTTCCAAAACAATTAACTCAGCTGATGGCAGGGAAATATGTATATAAATGTACATATATATATCAAAGTGGTCCTCTTGCCTTGTTTGAACCCATTTAAAAATGAGGTCCTGATGTGGTCACCTCTACCGCCTCACCTCCTTCCTCGACTTGCCATGCCCTAAATAGGTAAACATTCCTGTGGCTTAGCCCCCTTCCTCTTCAACCTGTGTGAAAAACATACCTTGTAAAAGAGGAGTCACTTAAATGTAACCCTTGGTCTTATGTCCACACTGTACAGGGCTCCCCTGAGGCTTGTGGTGAGTGAGAAATTTGGTGTTGATAATCTTTCCTGGAGATTTTATGAGAATGTTTTGTGGGGTAATTCCCTACACAAGTCTCTTAACCACAGCGGGGAGTCCCGTGAGGTGTTACCGCTGCTCTCAGAGATTTGTGGGGCTTTAGTGGAAATTTAAGGTAATTTGTCCAAATCTCAGACGATGACGGTTTGTGATATTTTTCTTACCCTGATGTTTTCCAAGTGGCATTTCCTTATCGTGAACGGAGACTGGTCCTCAGTGAGTGGTCACAGTCTTAAAATACCCAACACTCACCTGGGATGTTATGAAACACGTGACATCTAAGCTGTGGGCAGGTTTGCATCAGTTATAAAATGACTTGTTTGTGTCTGTTTGTAGTTGTGTTTGAGTATTTGGGGTTGTTTTTTGTGTCTTTGTGGGGGTTTTGCAGTTATTTCTTCTCTTTGTAGATGTGTTGTGTCTTACTGTAGTAGTTTTAAAACTTTGAGTTGGGATAATATACAAGGGAAGCATTTCCAGGCTATGGCCTCTGGGTGTATGCCCTATAGGCCTATTCAGTAAATCATTCATAAAGCTATCCACTATA